ATGAGCGACATAACCTTCAAATACATTCGAGCATTGGCAAAAACCTGCTGGTACAAGTGACTGAAACCGTCGTGTGGCTGGTAAATGACAAAATTATCGAAATAAGTGTCCACGGAGAAGTCACTATACCGGAACGGACACGAGTAAAGATATGGTACCGGTTATCGTCATGATCTCGACGAAGGAACAATCCTGTCGGGCTCGAGATTGAGAATTGGATAAATACGGAAATCAAATATGGCGCTAGAGATTGAAAGAGACTGTACGCAAGGTATAGAATAGTAGGATGAATTGTCAATAGATGTGGACGGATTTCTTGATATACAAGAAGAAGTTATAAAGGTAGGTTAGATAGGGCCGCGCACTGCCGGTGAGGTACGAGGCGCGGCAGAGGGCCAGAACACCTTCCTAAAGGCTGATTGGCCGTGTAATCCCCATTAGGCCCCACGAATCGATTCCCGTCCGCGTGTTCGATATTCAAATAATCGAACAATGGCCCCGACCGCTCAAATGCCGCGCGGGCTCTCCCGGGGTCGCCGGTAAAAAGAACAAATTTAAATAATCATAATAATGATAATGCCCCGATGTGCACGATGGGTAAGGGGCCGGCGCGGAGGGGGTTTTCGGCAGGGGGAGGAAGACCCTGCGAAGGGAGCACAGGGTATTCCGACTGCCACGTAGAAGGCGTACGAGTGCGTACACGCATACCCACGTAGACGGGCATCGTCCGGAGGACGTTGGTACGTTCGTCCAGGTTGGCGGGTATTGGTGCGCAGGTCGGAGGGATGCGGCTGGCAGGCACGGTGCTCCGAGCTCGGCGGCGTTATTCATTTTTTACTTTCAAAAATCATGACGATGCTCATTTTTCTGACTCGTGAAGAATTCTTCAAACTGACGTACCAAACGCGCCGGATAGCTGCTCTCCGCTGTGCCGCTTTGGGATGCTGGCGAGGGGTGGGTCGACGAAGGGGAGTGGGGGACGGACGGGGATGGTGGTGGCATAGAGTATCTATCTCTTTTTCTTTTTTTTTTCTTCCCCCCTCGTCCGAAACTTCATCTTCTTAACCTCGCCTCTCTCTCTCTCTCTCTCTCAATACCTTCTCCGTGTTCTTTTCTACTTCTTAGCCAACCTTCTCTTCTACCTTCTGCTTCTCATGCTTTACTCATTCTCAACCATCACGGCCGCCGCCACCTCCATCTTGGCCATACGGCCCCCCTTGCCCCTGCCTCTCCGAGCTCTAGCCGATTTTTTTGTTTGGAAAGATCTTAGATTTGAAAAAGGAACGTAGCCAGAGAGCTCGTTCCCATCTCGTCTCTCGTGGAGCAATGAAAGAGAGCGACTGGACGAGACTTGGAGATTCTCTCCTCTTGTCTCCCCTCCATCCCTCTCAGTTGATTCCGTCGTCTCTCTCTCTCTCTCTCTCTCTCTCTCTCTCTTTCTCTCGGTGCTCTCCTCTTGTCACTTCTCTTTTAGACACTCTCTCTTTCTCTCTTTACCTACTCTCTTCACGTTCTACCTAACCATCATATTTCTCCATCCTATTGCTTTCTTCTTCTTCTTCTTCTTCTTCACTCTTCTCTATACACCAACCCTCTTCACTCACACAGCTAGCCACAGCATCCCTCACGTGGACGCCACGGCCTATCCTTATAATATAATATTCATATTTCGAACGAAAGATTTTATCTCTTAAATGAATCGAACGCGTTCCGATTTGAGATATCTGCCGGAGCGCCAGAGCTCGGACTCCGACTCTCCCGGAGCCCGCGATGTATTGTAATGGCTACGAGTTCGAGCCTCCGAACATCTCTGTATGCGTTAAAACTAATGCCGCGCCAGTTAGTCTTCTTATCTTTTTATTCTTCTTCTTCCTCGCCTTCCTCCTCCTCCTTCATTTCACTCTTTCGTTATTCTCTTCTATACTTCACTCTCGGTTCTCTTGGACCTCTTCTTCTTCTTCTTCTTCTTCCATCTCTTGCTCATTCCTTCGTCTCTTTACGTGGGGTACAGTCTCGTCAGGACGATCGCGATACGTCTACTGGGAATTGCTCCGGTTTTATCACCTTCATTTTTTTGTTTTCAACTTTTGCAGTAGTCCCTATCGCGGATGCGTGTGCGACGATCTTCAATGGTTAAGATCGAATTGGAGATCGATACGTCATACACTTAGGTCTCCAAAGATTTTTTGACTGGTATGTTGTTTTATATTTTTTTTTTTTTGAACTTTTCTTCTTTCCGTATAATTATATCATCTGAAAAATCAGGTCTTTATCCTTACGTGAACCCGCGTGAAGTAATACTTATAGATGTTTCATAAGAGCATCATTCCGGACAGTCTGTCGAGTCATTTGATACGTATTGTTCGAAATTCAAGCCTGACTCGGATTCCGAGAAAATAACAAACGCCATCGTAATGCCGGCTCGCCTTTTATACAATATGTACTTATAAGCTGACGAGATCTCCGGGGCTCATCGAGTACCGGATTTTACATACCCAACCGTACCTGTAGGATAACTAACAACGTAACTGAAATAGGTAGCCGAACGGATAGATTGGTAGAACTGGATAGGAAGAAATTGATAAAGAATAACCTAACCCAAGATACGAGCTGATAAAACCGTACGACAGTTCTGACAAACGCAGTCGGTAAAGAAGGGCAAAATTAGAAAAATAATAAAGACACTCCCACGTGCTCCGTGCGATCGTACTTGAAAATGTAGATTACACACAGGACCACGTAGTACCTACCCGTAACAAGGTACCTGCAAGTAAAAGGCAGCTTGATCAACAGTTTACAGATAGGAGTGATCCAATGTATAGTATTCGTCTTAAAGAGAAAGACAAAGATAAGGATAATGTAAGTATATAAATGAGAAGAAGATGAAAAGTCCTCACTGAGTAAAACCAACCGGAATTAAATCCAACTGGAATAGCCGTGCACCCCAGATGCATTACGGGTTGAAAATCTTTCTCCTTCGCCAGCCTCTTCCTTCTCGGACAAGAAATACCAGGACCGGGTAATTAATCATATTTTGAAAATCATTCCACCGGCGTAGATCTCCCTGACGAGATAGAAACCGGAGAGCGGCTCGAAACTTCGAAGTCATACCGATGCACCTTGATGTGGCATTTACGCAGAGTGCATCGTGGCTGCTTGCATCGAGTCCTATATATTCGTCATAGGTTAAAAGATATGGATAAGGGAAGTTCAAATTGGATCGTTATCGATGCATCGCTAGATATTTTTTTTTTCCGTATAAAAAAAAAACTTTTTTGTACGTATAAACCGTTTGAAAGAAATAAAGGGGGCGACTTTTTTTTTACTTTCGCCCCCCCCCCCCCTTTAGAAAACAGATGGGAATGAAAGAAGAGAGTAAACCTTGAGGGGAACCTATCGGGCCAAACTGGCTCGACATTTGCAAAAGGGCACTGGGCTTCCCACTGCGACCGCTCGCAATTACAGGCAATTTCGTGTAAACGCGAGCAAAACAATCGGAACTCCCGGCTGGCTGTTGCGCATGCGTGCCGAACGGGAGTAAAGAAAGGAGATGGTAAGGATCAGTGAAAAGGTGAACGTAGGATAGAAATGAGACTGGTAGGACGGATGATGTGGGAGATGAGGAGAAATAAGAGGATCGGAGGAATGGGATGAAGAATGGCGGGATAGATGGTACGGTGGATGGAGGATTTTTAAATTTTGTCACGTTCAAGTTTAAACACAGTCATTTGTGAGATCTTGGGCTTGTGCCTATGCAACTCTGGCACTGGCATCGCCGCTTCGCAAGCCTTTCCTCTCTTCCTTCTCCCTCTACTCCTTTTCCTTCCCTACTGCCCTTCTCAAGGCAGTCTCTTTTATTATTTTTCGTTCCAAATTCGAATCGGCCTTTCTCTCTGGAAATTACGCTATTTCGAAATTATAACATCTCCGCAGCGATATGAGAAAGATTTGCCACTAATTGCGTACCCTGCTGGTACTGTGGGACCAGCCGATAGCTTCTTCGAGGGTCCCAACGTGGCCGGAGACAAAAAGGTAATAACAGAAGAAGAAACAGTGGACGATCAGGAGCATGGGGTAGGAAGAAAAGCTTTAGGTGGCGCTTGGGAGAAGGAAAAAAAAGGGTGGAAGAAAGAAACTTCAGATCGTAGATCCAAAAGATGCATCTTCGATCTGACAGCCGTTTGCGTCGACGTATAAAAGTAGTCCACGGGGAAACTCATATTTTGGTAAGAAATCAAATGTACATACGTGTATCATCGTTTACCAAGAGGTGAGCCTATCTAATCTAATCGGAATTTCTCAGATATTTAAATCGATGTCAAGTCCATTTTAAATGTCCTCTTATTCGATAAAATTGTTTTTCAAAATCTTGAAAAAAATTTTTTTTTAAATCTTCAAAAGCGCGTCCATATATTTTCAAGCTAAAATCACGGTTCTCAACAGTGGCGAGGAATTGGTGTACGAAGATAAAATGAGAAATAAAAAGATTATAGAAAAAACTACAAGCGCAGAATTTCAAACGCTATAGCTTACCGGCAAAGTATACAGGGCCGTGCAAAGGCTGTCTCTTTTCAAATAATTCAAAAACCGGCCGATCGAACATATATTTCTGGACCGCCTCGCAGCTCGCACCGTGTAATTATCGTAGAGGGCCCCGGAATCGTCGAATGCATCCACCCAGTGGTGTTCAACCATACCTCACAGACGGGAAGCCCCGCTTCAGAAAGAATCTCAATCATTCCTCGAAATGACATAGTGGCATAAATATATATATATATATACACTCGACCCAAGTATTTCACATGATCGAAGGCAATATCGAGATTCTACGGTAATTTCAAATAGGGTTAGAGGGAGGGTAAATAACAGAGAGGCAGAGAGGGAGATAGTGAGAGTGAGAGAAAGAGAGAGAGATAGGTAAAAAATAATGGCGCACAGCCATAAGATACCTCCAAGATTTCACGATTCAACTTTACGATTGGCATTCGTTTATCCCTTACCTTGCGATGCAGCTGCTTCTCAAGGCCCCTTATTCGAAGATACACACAGGTGGATCAGACTGAGGATATTCCTTTGAGATTTCGATCACGATTCCACGGCTATGAGTTTCTCACAAGTAGGCGAGCATTGTTTAAAATAGAAAAAGATGTCATTATAAAAAAGACAATTTTCACTATACACGGTACGAACAATGCATAAGAATCTGTCGCTGTGCGTGAACTTGACAAGTGTTTTAATCGCCGATCGATTAACTCGCGTACCGATCACGACCTTGTTACATACGCGTGCGTTAACTATAGCGAGTCGAATAATGTGAAATATCTATCTTATCGCCAAATAAATGGCCAGGCTTTCTCTAATCGTGAAATCGCCAGCAAAAGGTACAGATGTTTTTTCTCTTATCTTGCGATGTCCGTTAATCCTCGGATACGTGAGATGGCTCAGTAAATTTTATATAATTTTTTCATTAAGAGCTATCGGAATATTGGTCAGCGTCATGCTTTTTTATTATCACTTAACATTCATATGTCATCTATAATTAAGATTATCATTGATAAATGCCTATTAAGGATGATTTTTAATTTTCAAATATTCATTCAATTCTTCATACTTTTATTTCACGCTATTGTTACTCGTATATAGGAAACGTTGCAGGATGCTGCGCAGTGAGGTCTGCGCAGTAGGTAAGCAGGAACTTTTTGTCATGTACCACGGATAAAAAAACAATGTTAAATATAGACGCAGTGCCGTTTCTTCTCCGATGTTAGGTATAGTTACTACGTCACCCTTCATAATATTCATCGCATTTCCCATTCCCACGACAATATGGGACGTATTAAAAAACAAAAAAGGGTTACGGTACAACCCTTACCCTCGCCCTTACATCGCGCTGCTTCCTCCCGGTGTTAGACTAGGATCCGAGAACTTCCGGTCTTTCGTCTTGCTTCTTCTGGTATGGAAAGTCGAGATGAGAGAGAGAGAGAGAGAAAGAGAGAGAGGGAGAGAGAGAGACGTCAAGATGAAAAAACAGGAGAGAGTTTTCCAAGAGCAGGAGGGATAGGGAAAGCACAAAAACTGCCATCCAAATTTACCTAAGCTGATCCTAACACTGTCGTGGAGGACTTTACCGCATGCGGTATTAAGGAACACTCAGTAAACCACTCTTGTCAGAGACAGACTTAACTGAACCATTCAAATAATCGAGTAGCTTCCAGTGTTTACCGAATACTTGAAAAACAGAAAATGAACAATGTCTCGAGTGGTCCACTGGAAATAACGAACAAACTGATTCTCATGTGGACGGACCCAAAAAGTATATATTATATATATATGTTAAATATTTTTAAAAAGTCTAATTTTCGAAATCGTTACATATGCCTTATCTTAAGCATTAGTTTAATAACCGGTGATGGTTCGTAACTCGGTAAACTACGTTTAATATAATTTTATAAAAAAACACATCAAGCTCTCTTATCGTTATCCAACACTGTGAAAAAAATCGTTTTAGGAGAGCTACTTGAAATATAAAACTAAAGATAAGAAATATTCGAAACGCAACTGATGTTTAGAGTAAAAACGATTAAAACGTTCTCATGGCTCTCGATCAGTCGGATTTTCATGCTGTCTAGAAAAAAAAAAAAAGGAATTCTTTGATCTGATCGATGATGAAGAAACCCCTTCGATGAATTCTCGGAGGAAAGTGTCTGTACCTGCATGTGTCAGGTCGTCGACGGGAATTTTTGGTAATGGCGGAGGAAGCGTGAATTTTGTAAAAATGCAATGTTAAGGGTGAGGAGGAAGGAAAAAAACGGGCGTATAAGAGTAAATAGAAAGGGGAGATGATTAATCGATCGATGGACCCACTGGTAGGTCTGGACCCCCCCGTTCCTCTTGCCCCAGGAGACATTCCTGTACGTCATGTACGATTTTTGTTATTTCTCCTTTAACCGGAACCCCGTAAGATCGATCGAAGTGCGTAATAATTTTTTTGAGATTCTTTTGAAAAAGAGGGCTAAAACTCCTGTAAGTGTTTCCCCTTTACGGGAAAAGTTAAAAACGTTGAGCGTTAATCGTTTCTGCATTTTCCGGTACAGAATCCCACGCGATTCCGGAAGTCGAATTTTTAACCCTTAAAAATGTCACGGGGTGATACAGTACCCTGGAGGAGGTTAGTTTTCAAGTCCCTCGCTGTTACCCATTTTTTTTTTTAAGTCTTTTTCCCCCTCTTGACGATCCGTGTATTTTTCGAGATTACCATACTTCCCACAACCTGTGAAACATTTACCGCAGTTCGTTCAACCAGGTTCAGGAAAGTCGAGGGTGAGTTCTGTGCGTCGAGGGTGAGAGTGAGGGTTAGGAAAAAAATCTCGACATACCCCAAGAAGCTTTTTGCATCTTGTTAACACGTGTAACGAGAACGAGAGCAGTTCAACCCTCAGAAATCTAAGGGATGAGATTGTTTCCCAAAGCAGAGTGAACACCCAGTCGCCAATGAGGGTGGGACATATAAAAATTAGAAAGTAAAAACAACCCCATAACAAATTTTACTTCCCGCTCAGCGTACCCATAAGTTCACGTGCTTCACGGATAAACGTTAAGGTCTTCATGGCGGCGCCCAGATACGACTTTCTCAAATCGATTCGGTGCTATTTCAAAGTGGCCAGACGTCCTGCAGAGTCTAATTTGAATGATGGTACCACTGATCAAATACCTTTCGAAAGCAGGATAGCCTGCAAGATAAAAGGAAAAACTTAAAAACACTCTGACGATACTACACGTTCAATTCCGCGAACCCAGTGCCATCGTCTCGGTCGGTAAGATTCGTAAGGGTTCGGTGGCCAGGAGATCGCGGGTATTCAGAAATCTAAAATTATAAATCCGATAAGAACGTCCCGGGCCATGTGCCAGGGGCCGGGGCTAAGAAGTAAGGCTCGTTTTAACGCAGGACGAAGTCTGCTGTTTCTCAAGCGTTTATCTGCAGAGAACAACATATAGATATATTGGAGAAGCACGAGAAAGATGGAAGCAAGAGGGAAGCCAACGGGGAGAGAAAATACAAAAAAAAAAGAAGTATAATATCAAGCGGAAGGAGATTCGTAGTAAAGGGTACTCGAGAAGTAAATGAACATCTTGAGAGTGCTTGATGCTATTTTTTTTGGTTTTTCAAAAAAGACTGCCACATGCAAATTAAATAAAAGAAAAAAAGGAAGCGGTAAGAGTGGTAGGATTGAGATGATACTCACCCCCTGGCCCAGCCAAGTATAAAAGGAAGAAGGGCTGGTGCATTGAACCCCGTAAAACGAAGTGATAATAAATTCAAAACGGTTCGTGGGAGCCGCTAGACCAGAAGGATATCTAGCCATCCCTTACTGGGGTTCCTTTCTCCCCCTTGTGAACATCCCCTTTCCTTGCGACAGATAACACGCGGACGAACCTGCGACTGTTTTTTTGTTTTTTCTTTTTTACTTCACTTTTTTCATCTTACAAAATCTTCAAAAATCCACGAGACTCACGTTTTATAACAAACACATGTCGCGCGAGCGACTCGTGGAAAAATAAGGGGATGCTACCCGTAAGCAGCCCTTAGGAACCTCAGGTTATTCGTCTTTCGGAAGTACGATAAGGTGGTTGGAACGAGGGGGTAGTATCCTTAAGAATTTTAAAATGCTGTGTCACTGCATCCCTTATTTTTTTTTTCTTTTACGTCCCTCGCCTTACTTTCTCCGATGGCAATGCCCACCTACGTGCATAGAATACACACGTATCTACGTACATGCATTGCACGAGCAGAGCCACACGCAACAGTTACTCCAAGGCGAGTCCTGGTGTACAGCTGTTGCGCGTAGTACAGCTGACAGAAAAGGGGTTAAGGACCCCATGGCGAAGAAGTGGAAGGAAGGAAGGGCCTGTAAGGGCTGCGACGTGTTGGAGGGGAGGGTCTTGTGAAGAGCATTGAGCAAAGCCAAAGTAAAGGAAGGGGACGTCGGGCCAAGCATAAGGGTACCACCACCTAAGGGATCTCAATGGATCGGGACGTTCGCAATTTTTGGATTTCCGTGTCTTTAGTAACCTGAGAATCGAAAACAGAGGGCAGGTAGAAGGAATGAATCGAATGGTACGCGGTTATGAGCGTAGCCACGCGGGGTAACCCCTTCGAAGTCCTGAAAGTGTTCAAAGGATTCTTCGAAAGGTCCCTTTGAGAAAAAAAAAGGAAGAAAAAAAATGAGAAGAAAAAGAAAAAAAATTGTTGTGCAAGATGACATCTCGCGGAGGGGTTAACATGGGCACTTCTTTCTCTTCGTGCTATAGTACTGCGTGGTATAGTATCGTATCGTATATGTGTATATATATATTATGTTATTTTTTTTTCTTCGTTTTCCCAGTTTCTATAGGGTTTCACAGACGCTACCTGGGTTCCAGCTGTGTTTTCTTAAGAGATTTTGGATTCCAGATTTTCGTCTTATTCCGTCGCGCCACGGAGACGCGGAGATCGAGTTTGACGCTAGATCCTGATACTGTCCGGCTTCGAAAGGATCTGCCAGGATGACGGTGTCGGTTTCGGGGGCCATTGTGTCTCCCTTTCGTAGAAGCGTCCCGCCGACTTCTAATCCCTTTTACTCCCTTGTAGAATATCGCCGTCGCTACTACCACCACCTTCGCCACCTTCATATGGATCAAAATCATTTTGATCTCTACGACCAGTACGACGAGCCGCGTCGCGTCTAGCATCGGGACGCTCCTCTCTAATTTTCCGTAGCGTCTCGCTCGTCCTGGCGTTTCCTTGCTGGAAGATTTAATTTAAGCCTTTATTATTTGTGAAAAAAAGGGGTGAATACGACGAGGCATAAAAAAGGGACTGTCAAGGATTCGTGGTGGCGGTGGAAGGGGTGGGGAGCAAAAAATATATTTAAAAAAAACAGCAGCAGCCGTTTCCCAGGACTCAGGTATAAAATTTTGGCTGCTGTATATATATGTATGATCGAATCCAGGATCTTGTCTCTATTTGAATAAGATTCACCCTGTTTATCATTTACTTTGATTCAACCCTTATGTATAGCCAGCGTGCAACTAAATCTCGCTATCCGTATACGTACTGTATATGTATTTTGTGTACGTTAATAAATAAG